CAGCTGTCTATAGATGTTGGAGATTAAACCTTTATCAGTGGTGTTATTAGCAAATATGTTCTCCCACACCGTGGGCTTTCTTGTTGTTTTGTTGATGGTTTCTTTTGCTATAAAAAAGCTTTTTATTTTGATGTAGTCCCATTTGTTTATTTTCTCTTTAGCTTCCATTGCCCTAGGGGCAGTATCAGTGAAGAAGTTCTTTTGGCATACGTCTGAGATTTTGCTGCCTGTGGATGCTTCTAGTATTTTTATGGTTTCCCGTCTGATGTTAAAGTCCTGTATCCATTTTGAGTTTATTTTTGTGTATGGTGTAAGTTGGTGATCTAGTTTCATTCTTTTGCATGTGTCTGCCCAATTTTCCCAACACCATTTATTGAAGAAACTGTCTTGACTCCATTGTATATTCATGCCTCCTTTGTCAAATATTAATTGAGCATAGTGATTTGGGTTGATATCTGGGTTCTCAATTCTATTCCATTGATCTATATGTCTGTTCTTGTGCCAGTACCAGGCTGTTTTGAGAACAGTGGCTTTGTAATACAGTTTGAAGTCTGGTATTGAGATCCCTCCTACTTTACCCTTCTTTCTCAGGATTGCTGTGGCTATTCGGGGTCTTTTATTGTTCCAAATGAACTTTTGGAGAGTTCTTTTTAGGTCAGTGAAATATGCCGTTGGTATTTTAATGGGGAGGGCATTGAACCTATAGATTGCTTTAGGAAGTGTGGACATTTTGATGATGTTGATTCTACCAATCCATGAACATGGTACATTCTTCCATCTCTTTACATCTTCCTCTATCTCTTTTTTCAGTGTCGTGTAGTTTTCTGCATATAGGTCCTTTACTTCCTTAGTTAAATTTATTCCTAGGTATCTTAATTTTTTTGGTGCGATGGTAAATGGAATTGCTTTTTTAGTCTCTATTTCTGTAGTTTCACTGTTGGTGTATAGAAATGCCATGGATTTCTTGGCATTAATTTTGTATCCTGCTACATTGCCAAATTCATTTATTGAGTCAATTAGTTTTTTAATGGAGTCTTTTGGGTTTTTTATGTACAATATCATGTCATCTGCAAATAAGGATAACTTTACTTCTTCTTTTCCAATTTGGATGCCTTTTATTTCCTCCTCTTGTCTAATTGCAATGGCTAGTACTTCCAGTACTATGTCAAACAGGAGTGGAGAGAGTGGGCATCTCTGTCTTTTTCCTGTTCTTAGAGGGAATGGTTTTAGTTTTTGCCCATTGAGTATAATGTTGGCTGTCGGTTTATCATATATGGCTTTTATTATTTTGAGGTATGATCCTTGTACTCACACCTTGTTAAGAGTTTTTATCAGGAAAGAGTGTTGGATTTTAGCAAATGGTTTTTCTGCATCAATTGATATGACTATATGATTTTTATCTTTCAATTTGTTTATGTGATGTATCACATTTATTGATTTGCGGATATTGTACCATCCTTGCATTCCTGGAATAAATCCTACTTGGTCATGGTGTATGATCTTTGTGATGTTCTTCTGGAGACGATTTGCTAGAATTTTGTTGAGGATTTTGGCATCTATGTTCATGAGGGATATTGGCCTGTAATTCTCTTTCATTGAGTTGTCTTTATCTGGTTTTGGTATTAGGGTGATGCTGGCTTCATAGAAGGAGTTTGGAAGTGTTCCTTCCTCTTGGATTTTTTTGAATAGTCTGAGGAGGATAGGTTTTAGTTCTTCCTTGAATGTTTGGTAAAACTCTCCTGTGAAGCCATCTGGCCCTGGGCTTTTGTTTGCTGGAAGCTTTTTGATGACTGTTTCATTTTCTTCCCAAGACACTGGTCTATTGAGATTTTTAGATTCTTCCTGATTGAGTTTTGGAAGTTTGTATTTCTCAAGGACTATGTCCATTTCCTCCAGGTTGTTCAGTTTGTTGGCATAGAGTTGTTCGTAGTATTTTGTAACAATCTGTTGTATTTCGGTGGGGTCTGTTGTTATTTCACCTCTTTCATTTCTGATTTTGTTTATTTGGGTCCTCTCTCTTTGTTTCTTGGTTAGGCTGGCTAGAGGTCCATCTATCTTGTTTATTCTTTCAAAGAACCAGCTGTTGGTTTTGTTGATCTTATGTATTGTTTTTTTGGTCTCTATGTCGTTTATCTGTGCTCTGATTTTTGATATTTCCTTCCTTCTGCTTACACTGGGCTTTTCTTGTTGCTCCTTTTCTAACTCTTTGAGTTGTAGAGTTAGATCATCTGTTACCCTTTTTTCTAGTTTTTTGCAATAGGCTTGTAAGGATATGAACTTCCCTCTCAAAACTGCTTTTGCTGTGTCCCATAGATTTTGGATTGTGTTTTCATTGTCATTTGTTTCCAGGATGTTTTTAATTTCTTCCTTGATTTCTCTCGTAACCCAATCCTTGTTTAATAGCATGATGTTTAGTCTCCATGTATTTGATTTCTTTGGATTATTTTTATTGAAGTTAATTTCCAGTTTTATGCCATCATGGTCTGAGAAGATACTTGATAGGATTTCTATCTTCTTGAATTTGAAGAGACTTTGCCTATGTCCCAAAATGTGGTCTATCTTTGAGAATGTCCCATGTGCACTTGAGAAGAATGTATATTCTGTGGCTTTGGGGTGTAGTGTTCTGAAGATGTCAATTAATTCCATCTGGTCTAGTGAGTCATTTAGGATTGATATTTATTTGCTGATTTTTTGTTTAGATGATTTGTCGAAGGGTGACAGTGGGGTATTAAAATCTCCTACTATGATTGTATTGCTATTAATCTCTCTCTTAATGTCCTCCAGCAGTTTTTTAATGTATTTGGTTGCTCTTGTATTGGGTGCATATATATTTACCAGGGTTATTTCTTCTTGTTGGATTGTTCCCTTTAGTATTATGAAGTGGCCTTCATTATCTCTTATTATGTCCTTCACTCTGAGATCTAATTTGTCAGATATAAGTATTGCTACCCCAGCTTTTTTTTCATTTCCATTTGCCTGGAAAACTTTTTTCCATCCCTTCACCCTCAGTCTGTGTGCATCTCTTTTTCTGAGGTGGGTTTCTTGTAGACAACAGATGTATGGGTCTTGTTTTCTTATCCAATCTGTTACCCTATGTCTTTTGATTGGAGCATTTAATCTATTTACATTTAAGGTTATTATTGATAGGTGCTAATTTGATGCCATTTTTATTCTATACCCGTGTTCCTTCTTCACTTCTTATTTCTTTATTTTTACAGTAGACCCTTTAGCATTTCTTGCATTGCTGGTTTGGTGGAGATAAATTCCTTCAGTCTTTTTTTGTCTGTGAAGCTCCTGATTTCCCCTTCAATTTTGATTGATAGCCTTGCTGGGTACAGTATTCTTGGATTCAGACCCTTACTTTGCATGACTTTGTATATTTCATCGCATTCCCTTCTGGCCTGATAAGTTTCTGTTGAGAAATCAGTTGCTAGTCTGATGGGGGTTCCTTTGTATGTAACTTTCTGTCTCTCTCTGGCTGCTTTTAAGATTCTTACTTTGTCAATGTTGTTTGCCAATTTAATTATAATGTGCCTTGGAGTCTGTCTTCTGGGATTCATTTTGCTTGGGACTCTGCGAGCATCTTGGATTTGTGTGTTTTTTTTCTTCTCTATTTCAGAAAAGTTTTCTGTCATTATTTCTTGAAATACTTTTTCCATGTCTACCTCAGTTTCCTTTCCTTCTGGAACCCCTATTATTTGAATATTATTTTGTTTTGTATTGTCCCAAGGCTCCCGTAGGCTCTCCTCCTGCTTTTTAATCTTTTTTTCTATAAGTTGCTCTACTTGGGTATTTTTTTCCATCTTATCTTCTAGCTCACTGATGCGGTCCTCTGCTTCATCTAGTCTACTCTTGATGCTTTCTATTGAGTTCTTCATGGTAGCGATGTCATTTTTCATTTCTTCTTGGTTCTTCTTCAGTTCCTCATGTTTCTTCCTCATTTCTTCTTGGCTATTGTCAAATTTCTCTTTCATTCTTTTTAGCCATCCTATGATCATTACTCTGAATTCTTGCTCTGACAGGCTGCTTGCCTCTGACTCGTTAACTTCCTTTTCTGGTGATGCCTGCTTTTCTTTCACGTGCGGACTATGTTTTTGTCTCCCCATGGCCTCTCTTTTCAGGATGTCTGGTTATGTGGTGTTCCTTCTCCTGCGTTGATTTAAAGGTACAAAATACAACAATACGAGGTACAACACAAGAGGCACTTAATAGGAATGTATTTACAATATTAATACCCTCTAATAAAGGTGACCACTAGAGAAAGACAAGTGTCCCATAGATTTTGGATTGTTGTTCTTTTGTTGTCATTAGTTTTCGGTTCCTTTTAATTTCTTCTTTGATCTCTTTGGTAACCCAGTCATTATTTAATAGTATGCTATTCAGCTTCCAAGTGTTTTGAGATTTTTGGATTGTTTTTATTGTAGTTTATTCCTAATTGTATGGCATTGTGGTCTGAGAAGATGCTTGGTATGATTTCAGTATTCTAGAATTTGGAGAGACTTGGCTTGTTACCCAATATGTGGTTCATTTTTTAAAATATGTTTTTCATAGTACATGCTTTATAATTATTTAACTGTATAAATGTGTATTTCTGTTTCTATTAGGTTGCTATTTTAAAAAATGTATCTCTGACAACTTTTTGTGTGCTGTGCACTTAATCTTATTTCCCCATACATCCTGCAGTTTATATTGCATGGTTTTTCAAAGTGAGGTGGTTTTCATGAAAGTATGCCATATTATAGAAGAACAGACTATAATTTATGAAGGGAATTTAATTATTTTTATATATATTAACCTATATACAACTTACATATGTAAATAAGTATAATAAAAATTCTGAATGAATCATTAATTTTTTTCCTTTTATTCTGATAATTTACTTGAAAAATAGTATAGTGATTCTCAAAGTAAAATGGAAATCTTAATAATGTTTATTATCATATATTTCCCTATAATTTATTGTCTCATTAACGTTTTCTGGCTTATGTAAAATTACACAGACAACAAAGCCAAATTATGAACGAGCGAAGAAAGCTATGAAAATGGAGAAGAAAAGATCTAAGGATAAATCTGTGGATTCAGAATCGTAAGAGAAAGATACATGCTAAAGTTTTCTTTCCTTGTTAATTTACATTTTTATTTTATACAACTTGAGGTAATATAAATATAACATTAATAGGTTTATTAAAAAATAACATTAGAAAATACAGGCATGAGCCATATTACAATTACATATTGGTCAACAGCAGATGAGATATTTTTTAGTCCAAAATATTTTAATGGAGCTGGAAAATTCCTATCACCTGGTGACATTGTAGATGTTTTAATGTCATAGCACATCACATTATTCTGTTTGAGTTGATGCTGGTATAACAAACCTACTGCACTGTCAATTGTATGAAAATATAGGATATACAACTTTGTACAGTATATCTTCCTATCTAATAAAGAGAAAATATACTAATTGACCCTCATGCTATCAAAAAGATGGTGGTGCCCAAGGCCAACAAGTAGGGCATATGCTAATTGACTGCCCCAACTCTCAAAGATGGCAACACCGGTAGCCACAAGATGGCAGTGTCCAGTTCCCTCAGCCCCACTGAAGTGGCAGGTCTGTGGCAAGGCTGAGCCCATATCCAGGCAGGCCCAACTGTTCCATGCGCCTGCCTCTAGGCCCCTCAGCCACCCAGCCATCCAGGCCCCTCAACCACCCAGCAATCCAGGGCTGGCCCAAGGTGTAGGCAAGCCCCTCTTTCAGCTGCTCAGCCATCCATGGCCACCTGAGGCTCAGGTAACCAGGAATGGCTAACACTTTTGCTGGGGGCAGTGGCAGCAGCAGAGGTGTGATGGGGAGTTGCCTTCCCCTGATTGCTGGGTCACCTCCTGTCCCTAAAAGCTCCAGACTTTGAGAGGGGGCAGGCTAGGCTGAGGGACCCCCTTCTTGTTCCTGAATTTTCATGCACTAGGCCTCTAGTACTTGATAATGATAATAAATGACTATGTTACCAGTTTATATATTTACAATTTTTATTGTTATTTCAGAGTGTACTCTTTCTACTTAAAAAATGTTTACTGTAAAACAATATGTCATGTTATCCTGGAAGCAACTTCATATATATTCATGTTACTGTGTCTCTTAATTGCATAATTTTCTCTTGTGCATTATTTAATCTCATGTTATTTATAAGTTTCATGTAGCCTAAGAATAGTGTTTATAAAATCTACAGTATTGTACAGTAATGTTCAAGGCCTCATGTTCAATCACCACTCACTCAGTTCTCCAAGCTACATTTATGATCAGTGCCCCATATGGGTATACCATTATAAATTTTTATAGTATATTATTACTGTACCTTTTCTATATTTAGGTACACAAGTACCATTGTGTTACAACTGTGTACAGTATTCAGCACAGTAACATGCTATACAGGTTTGTAGCCCAGGAGCAATAGGCCTAGGTATATAGTTGACTATACCATCTATGTTTGTGTCAGTGTGTACTCTCTGATGTTTGTACAATAATAAAATCACTTAACAATGGATTTTTCAGAATGTATCCTTATTGTTAATGATGCATTACTATATATAGTTTTATAAGCAAATAAGAATATGATTGTGGGAGAAAGCTGAGAAGGGAAACATGAACTAAAGAGGAGGAGAATGAATCATAAGACATTTAGGAACTGGCAGGCAGAATTAAATTTGTAAATAATTTTAGGGAAAAGAATTTACATTGTGTCCTTGATGGGTTAGCTAATGATTTGCAATTTGTACATTAACTCCATAGTCTGGCCTATGGTTTTTTTTTATTTATTTTTAACTGAAATTCTTGTTTTCCTTTTTTTAAATTCTCCCTCGAGGATATATTTTTAAATTGATTTTAAAGAGAGAGAACGGGAGAAATGGGGAGAGATAGAAACATTAATGTGAGAGAGAAACATCAATCAGTTGCTTCCCATGCATGTCCTGACTGGGGACCAAACCCACAACCTTTTGGTGTATGGGAAGATACTCCATCCACCTGAGCCACCCAGCCAGGGCTTTAGAGAACTTCATTGTACTTATTTTATAAAAACAATTACCTATATTTTAATGCATATAAATTGCTTTTATTAAGTGAATAACCTCTTTAGTAAAATAAAATAACTTTTGCATTTAAATTGGATTGGTCAAACCCAAATATAAATATACAGTTTAAAAAGAAATTATGAATTTCATGTTTATATAGCTCCAAAAAATCTATAAAGAAATTCATTGGACAAATGACTTTGATCTTTGACTTAGATAGAAAAGATAACCAGAGGGGAAAAATGGACCAATGTACTTTGAAATTGCTTGCCCTATCTCATCTTTCCATATTTTAATCATAGTAATAAGAAGTTAGTTTGAGAAATGTTATTTAATCATTTATCATTTAACCTATGTGGTTTTTAAAAATACATAAATTTCTTTTGAAGATTTTCATTTTTCTAAGGGCTTAAACATGTAAAAATTAGCTGTGCAATTAAAAATATCATGATATATTTTAAAACATTTTTTAATTCCAGGAAAAGGTCTTCAGCCAAAGAGCTTAAAATAGAAGACTTTTTAAAAGTCCAGGTAATATATTCTCTTTATACCTCTAAATTTGATAAATAAGTGCTCTGATAATTATATGTATAGATAGTATTAGTATGCATATGAATATAAGTGTGTGTGTCTATCTGTGTATATGTATGTACTGAAGTTCTCTCTAAGATATGTCTTTCTTGTTGGTTGACTCTTCTCAAGTTTCACAAAATAAAATGGTAAATCTAGGCATGTTTATTGTCAAAGTTATGAAAATTATGGTTTTCTCAACCACAGGCAATATCATGCAGGAAAGACTATCATATTGGTAGTAAACAGTTATGTGGCATTGGACAAGTCCCATTTTTTCTGGACCTAAGCAAATATTAACTAGAGGCCAGGTGCATGAAATTCATGCATGGGGAGGTGGGGGATTCCCTCAGCCTGGCTTGCATCCTCTACAATCTGGCACTCCTCTTACAATCTGGTACCGCTGATTCCTAACCACTCACCTGCCTGCCTTCCTGATTGCCTCTAACTACTCTGCTTGCCTGCCTGATCACCCCTAAACCATCTGCTTGCCTGCCTGATGGCCCTTTACCACCTCTACTTGCCAGCCTGTTCACCCCTAACTGCCCTACCCTGTTGGCCTGGTTGCCACAAACTGCCCTCCCCTGCCAACCTGGTCACCCCTAAGTGACACTGCCTTGGCTCCCACCACTATGGCTTTGTCTAGAAGGATGTCTTAAAACATTGTTCATTTGTCTAATAGGACAAAACAGACATTTGTCCAATCAAATTAGCGTATTACCCTTTATTAGTATAGATAATAGTGACCTGATGCATGAAAATTTGTACACTCGTGGGGATCACAGTCCAGGATCCCTCGGAAGATGTCCACCTGCTGGCTTAGACTCACACCCCCAGGGAATGGGCTTAAGCTGGCAGTCAGACATCCCTCTGGCAGCCCAGGAGCCCTTGGGCGATGTCCAACTGACGGACATTCTTAGTGCCGCAGAGGAGGTGGGAGAGGCTCCCGCCATCATTGCAGAGCTCACAACCATCTGGCTGAGCAGAGCGCGCCCTCCCCCCCCCCCCCCCCCCCCCAGCCTACTGACCACCAAAAGGCAGCTCCTGCATTGAGAATCTGTCCCCTGGTGGTCAGTTCGCGTCATAGCGATGGGTCATTCCGCCATTAGGGTTAATTTGGATATTACCCTTTTATTATATAGGATATCTATACTAATAATAGAGTAATATTCAAATTGGCCAGGACACTGTAAAATAATGACCAAACAAAAGGGACCTGAGGCTTCATGGTGCCTGGCTGGGGTAGGGGACCTCAGGCTGTGCTCCAGCCTGGAATGGATTGACAAGGGACCTCAGGTTGCACGCCCCTGATGAAGCAATGGGCTGGGGGACCTGAGGTTGTGCTGAGGGACCTGAAGCTGCATTCCCCCACCAGGTGGGGCTTGATGGAACCTGAGGCTACAACCTCCACCCAGCAGACTTGATGGGGGGGGCCCTCAGGCCATGCCACCCAGCCAGATGCTGGGATGGGGGACTTGAGGCTGCTCCCCCTGCCTGACTCCAGGATGGGGAACCTGAGGCTGTGGCCCCCACCTTGAGGGGCTTGATGGGGTGGGGCCAGCTGGGTCTGGGTCTTAGCCAGTGAGTGTGGGGCCAGCTGAGTCTGGGTTTCCTGTGTTTTTGCAGCATGGGTGGGTGTGGGCAGGAACTTGACTCTAGGTGCTGGTGGCATGCCCCAGACTTACAGGAGGGAGATTTTCATATACATTTTACTAATTTTCTTTCATCTCTGATACTTCTATTATAGAGAAAGGGCAAATAGCAATATTAAAATATTTCCTCTAATTCTCTTTTAATGTGCATGATTTTGGTGCACCGGACCACTAGTATAGCTAACAGTATTAGATATGTCTCCTTTTCCCCCAATTGACCCTCCCTCTACTCCTACCCTTGAGGGTAGGCCTCCACAACCCCACTGTGTGTGTCCATTGGATAACCATGGATAACTAATATGCATGCATACAAGTCCTTTGGTAGATCTCTAACACCCCTGTCTCCTGAAACTTGACTCTAGATTTACTTTTGTTTATCAGTTTATGTTGATCATTATATCTCATATATGAGTGAGATAATGTGATATTTATCTTTCTCTGACTGGCTTATTTTGTTTAGCATAATGCTCTCCAGTTCCATCCATGCTGTTGCAAATGGTAAAAGTTCCTTCTTTTTTATAGAGGCATAGTATTTTATTGTAGAGACATACCACAGTTTTTTAATCCACTCATCTTCTGATGGGCATTTAGACTGGTTTCAAAGGTTAGTTATTGTAAATTGTGCTGTGATGAACATATAGGGGTGCATATATCCTTTCTGATTGGTACATCTGGTTTCTTGTGATATAGTTCTAGAAGTGGGATCACTGAATCAAATGGGAGTTCCATTTTTAACTTTTTAAGGAAATGCCATACTGTTTCCCACATTGCACCAGTCTTCATTCCCACCAGCAGTGCATGAGGGTTCCTTTTTTCTCCACATCCTTGCCATCACTTGTAGATTTATTGATGATAGCCATTCTGACAGGTGTGAGATGGCACCTCAATGCTGTTTTGATTTGCATCTCTCTGATAAATAGTGACTTTGAGCATGTTTTCATATGTCTCTTAGCCTTCTGTATGTTCTTTTCAGAAAGTGTCTGTTTAGGTCCTTTGCCCATTTTTTACTAGATTGTTTATTTTTCTTTTATTAAATTGTATGAGTCCCTTGTAAATATTGGAGATTTAAACCTTATCTGAAATAGCATTGGAAAATATGTTCTCCCATGCAGTGGGCTTTCTTGTTGATTTGCTGATTTTTTTTATTTTTATTTTTATTTATATATATTTGCTATTCTGAAGCTTTTTATTTTGATGTAGTCCCATTTATTTATTTTTTCTTTAGTTTCCATTGCCCTAGGAGTTGTATCAGTAAAGATATTGCTCCAACATATGTCTGATATTTTGCTGCCTATGGAATCTTCCAAGATTTTTATGGTTTCCTATCTTATACAATATTAAAGTCCTTTAACCATTTTGAGTTTGTTTTTGTGTATGGTGTAAGTTGTCGGTCTGTTTCATTTTCTTTTTTTACATGTATTTGACCAATTTTCCCAGCACCATTTATTGAAGAGACTGTCTTGACTCCATTGTATGTTCATGCCTCCTTTGTCAAATATTAATGGAGCATAGTGGTTTGGGTCTATTTCTGGGTTGTCTGTTCTGTTCCATTAGCCAATATGTCTGTTCTTATGCCAGTACCAGGCAGTTTTGAGAACCATGGCTTGGTAATATAGTTTGATACCTGGTATTGTGATCCCTCCAACATTGTATTTTATTTTTTATTTTTATCAGGATTGCTATGGCTACTCATGGTCCTTTTTTAAATTCCAGATGAATTTTTGGAGCATTTATTCTTGGTCTGTGAAATTTGCCTTTGGTATTTATTGGGGATTGCATTGAATCTATAAATTGATTTGGGTTGTATGGACGTTTTAATGATGTTGATTCTACCAATCCATGAACACATTCTTCCATTTGTTTATGTCCCCCTTTATCTCTTTTTTCAATGTCATGTAGTTTTCTGAGTACAGGTCTTTTACATCTTAGTTAAGTTTATTTCTAGGTATCTTAAATTTTTTGGTGCAATAGTAAATGGGATTGTGTTTGTAGTTTCTTTTTCTCTGTATTCATTATTGGTGTATAAAAAACACATAGATTTCTGGTATTAATTTTGTATCCTGCTATATTGATGAATTAAATAATCAATTCTAGTAGTTTTTTGATGGAGTTTTTAGGGTTTTCTATGTAGTATCATGTCATCTGCAAATAATGACAGTTTTTACTTCTTCTTTTCCAGATTAGATGACTTTTATTTCTTCTTGTTTTATAGCTATGGTTAGCACTTCCAGTAGTATATTGAATAGGAGTGGTGAAAGTGGGCCTCCTTGTCTTGTTCCTGCTCTGAGGGAAAATGGATTTAGTTTTTGCTCATTGAGTATGACATTGGCTGTAGGTTTGTCATATAAGGCTTTTATTGTATTTAGGTGTGATCCTCTATTCCTACTTTGCTGATGATTTTTATAAAGAAAGGGTGTTGGATTTTGTCATATGCTTTTTCTGCATAGATTGATATGAGTATGTGATTTTTCTCTCTCCATTTGTTTCTATGATGTATCACATTTATTGGTTTTCAGATATTGTATCATCCTTGCATCCTCAGAATAAATGCCACTTTGTGTATGATCTTTCTAATGTGGTAATGCTGGATCTGATTTGCTAGATTTTTTTGAGGATTTTATCATCTATGTATATCAAGAATATTGGCTTGTAGTTTTCTTTTTTTGTGGTGTCTTTATCTGGTTTTGGAGTTAGGGTAATGCTGTCTTGATAGAAAGAACTTGAAAGTGTGTCTTTCTTTTCAATTTTTAGATTAACCTGGGGAGGATAGGTTTTAGTTTTTCTTTGAATGCTTGATAGAACTCCCTCGTAAAACCATCCGGAACAGGGCTTTTGTTTGCTGAAAGATTTTTTATTACTGTTTCACTTTCCTCAATAGTTATCAGCCTATTCAGGTTTTTTATTCTTCCTGATTCAGTGTTGGGAACTTGTATTTTTCTTTCTTTTTTTCTCATTTTAAAAGTTAAGGTATTATATATGAACATACCTTACCAATCTCCACCCCCCCACTCCCATACATGCTCTCCCACCCCAGAGTTTTTCGTCCATTGGTTATGCTTATACAAGTCCTTTGGTTGATCTCTTATCTCCGCCATATCTCCCTCCCCTCCCTGCTGTAATTTGAGAATCTGTTTGTTTCTTTATGTCTCTGTATCTATCTTTTTGTTCATCAGTTTATAATGTTCCTTATTATCCATAAATGAGTGAGATCATGTGGTGTTTTCTTTCATTGACTGGCTTGTTTCACTCAGCATGATGTTCTCCAATTCCATCCAGGTTGCTGCAAATGAAAAGAATTCCTTCTTTTTA